CAATGAATAGCTATTTGGATCCCTCAACTCTGACGAACTGCCGACAATTGGCTGTACAAAAATCGTTCGTTCAGTCTTGTCTCTTGTCGATTCAGCATTGATAGACTCTTCGCTTTGTAAACACTGGCACAAAACTGACAACAGAATCAGACTATATGAAGATTTTGGTAATGCCGTCATCATTCATATGAAAATATTAGCATTTCTTAGTGTTGTAGCTAGAACTATATTCTTGTGCACGATGTCGGATGGAGACGATAATGGACTGTGAGAGATATCGTCCAATGTGCTTTAAGTAAGTTGGCAGAAGACGTAAACAGATTTTCAGACACATAAACAGTAAAGAGTGAGGGTACTAGGACATTTATAATTTCTCTTCATATGTCCCGCCCATTTGCGCCATAGTGGGAGGTGTTGTTGAAAGGTCCCACCAACACCTATTAAATAAATAATCAGCACATTGGGTAACATGAAATTCTTACTCAATCTGTTTTCTATCTGCTTCATTTCTCTCTTTCTCCTGCTTTTATTATTTCTGTCTAGTTTGATTTCCTTCTTTCCTGATGCTTAAGAGGAAGAATAATCAATATAAAGACCACCATACGCTGTGAAACCACACAAAAGTATATGTGAATAATTTAGCTTCGATCCGTATCGGTCCAGCGCAAGCAATAATTTATATGAAGCTTAGATAAAAGTTATCAACGTTCTTTTCGGCACCGATGTGTCCAGACTGGCTCTGGGATTTTACCAGTCTCCCATCCAATGGCTACCAAAGGCATTTTCCTTGGGAACAAAGCGGACGGAGCGTGAAGCTGTCAATTAACCCACATATAGTGCCTGGCATTCGTGGACTTCTACCTGGACGCCCCGTACATGATGTGATTCACTACAGGGACCTTTTTTTAAATGTGTCATTAGGTCGCCCTGATGATAGAGGCAGTAAGCACCTATTAATCGTCGGCAAACTTCTACAAGATAACACGGTCCAACTTCCCAGTCATATTTAACCATCGAACTGGATTACGTCAGCACAATTAGGCCCGTGAGATCCAATTAACCATGTTCAGTGAGTAGGGATTTCCCGAACAATTTAATGGCTCTGCTGAGACAAAAAAATCGTCTTCATTTTTTGCTAAAATAGAACTTAAAGAAGTAAGTGATCTGGATTATCAAGAAATCTTCTTTTCTTTTGTTCCAGTTACTTCTCCTCCTACCTCGGCTTCTCCTTCTATTTCATCGTCTACTTTTTCATTTACTTCTGCTTAGTCTTCTTCTCCTCTCAAATTTATTGTTCTTTCTGCTTTCTTCTTCTCTACTATACTTTTCCTTCATTCTAGTCCGTAATTTTAAATAATGTGAAATTTGAGGTTCTCACGGCAGTGAATATGACGATATTGTTCTTTTAGGTCATAACGCCCTGCAGACTCGTAGGAAGGTACAAACGTTTCGGAGAAAATGTTTCCATCTTCAGAGCTGTCTCCCTCTTCAGCCCTACGTATGGAGAGAGTACGATTGTACACGGCACCACAACCCATAAGAATATATTTGAGCATCATCATTAATTTTCTTCCTGTTCTTCGTCTCTCCCGGCTTGTGACGCATTTCTGTGGCAAGATCGAAGTCTAAAAATTGCTGCGTACGTAGAAACGTGGATGTTCGCACAGAACGAAATTCAAATCCCGGGATGTAAGGACATGGCGAAAAATTGTGTCCTGACCCAGGGATTATTTCGAATGCTCATTACATTAAAGGGGTCTTCAGGATTTTGAAGTAAGAGGCAAGTCTTCCCTAAGTAAAAGTAAACGAAATTTGGTAGAGGAGGTAGAGATTCACGCATTCTTGTCGTTATCGCCTGATGTAGGCGGGTGTCAGAACTGGATGGACTGGTGGTTACTGCTCAGTGGTCAGAATAAATCCAAGTGTCACTTTA